AACTAGGCGAGTACAAATGAGAGGCAGCACCATCAGCGTCGTCCTCATGGTGTGTGTGTGTGTACTCACCTATTTGTGCTTGCAGGATCGAGCATTGGCTCTTGGATCCCGCCTTTCCAGCTATCGGTTGTTTACAGCAATGACTCCTGTCCCATTTCCCTATCATACCTAATTTTAAAAGTATAAATAGAGTTTGCTTCCACAACCTGTTCCCCAAGTGCATTCCATTTTTCCACTACTCTCACGCTAAAAGAAAACTTCCTAACATCTCTGTGACTCATCTGAGTTTCCAGTTTCCACACATGTCCCCTCGTTCTGTTATTATTACGTGTGAACATTTCATCTATTTCCACTTTGTCAATTCCCCAGAGTATTTTATATGTTCCTATCATATCTCCTCTCTCCCTTCTTTTCTCTAGTGTCGTAAGGTTCAGTTCCCTCAGACGGTCTTCATATCCCATCCCTCGTAACTCTGGGACAAGCCTAGTCGCAAACCTCTGAACCTTCTCTAGTTTCCTTATGTGTTTCTTCAGGTGGGGGCTCCATGATGGCGCGGCATACTCTAAGACTGGTCTCACGTAGGCAGTATAAAGCGCCCTAAAAGCCTCCTCACTTAGGTTTCTGAATGAAGTTCTAATTTTCGCCAGTGTAGAGTACGCTGCTGTCGTTATCCTATTTATATGTGCCTCAGGAGTTAGATTAGGTGTCACATCCACTCCCAGGTCTCTTTCTCGAATCGTTACAGGTAGGCAGTTCCCCTTCATTGTGTACTGTCCTTTTGGTCGCCAATCACCTGATCCCATTTCCATAACTTTACATTTACTGGTGTTGAACTCCAGTAGCCATTTCCCTGACCATATCTGCATCCTGTTTAAGTCCTCTTGGAGGATCCTACAATCTTCATCTGTTACAACTCTTCTCATTAATTTTGCGTCATCCGCAAACATTGACATGTATGATTCCACTCCTGTAAACATATCATTTACGTAAATTAGAAAGAGGATTGGGCCCAGTACCGATCCTTGAGGTACTCCACTCGTTACTGTTCGCCAGTCCGACTTCTCGCCCCTTACCATTACCCTCTGGCTCCTTCCTGTTAGGTAGTTCTTCACCCATGCTAGGGCCTTTCCGCTTACTCCTGCCTGCCTCTCAAGTTTGTAAAGGAGTCTCATGTGCGGTATTGTATCAAAGGCCTTTTGGCAGTCAAGAAATATGCAGTTTGCCCAGCCTTCTCTGTCCTGCCTTATCCTTGTTACTTTGTCATAGAATTCTAAAAGGTTTGTTGGGCATGATTTCCCTGTCCAGAACCCATGTTGGTGCTTGTTTACAAACCCAATGCTCTCCAGGTGCTCAACAAGTCTCAGCCTAATTATTCTTTCAAGTATTATGCAGGGGATGCTTGTCAGTGATACGGGTCTGTAGTTAAGTGCCTCCTCCCTATCACCTTTCTTGAAAATCGGTACAACATTTGCCTCCTTCCAGCAACTGGGCAATTCTCCCGACATAAGTGACTCATTAAAGATCATTGCCAGAGGCACGCTGAGAGCCTGCGCTGCCTCTTTTAATATTCACGGTGATACTTTGTCTGGTCCAACAGCTTTATTTGCATCCAGTGTTGTCAACTGTTTCATTACCTCCTCTGCTGTCACCTCTATATCTGATAGTCTTCCATCAAGGGCAATCTCTTCTAACAATGGAAGCCACTCAGGCTCGGTTGTGAACACTCCATGGAAACTTGCATTCAGTACCTCACAGATTTCCTTGTCGCTTCCTGTGTATGTCCCTTCTGTTTTCCTCAGTTTTGTCACTTGGTCATTTAACGACATCTTCCTTCTTATATGGCTATGTAGTAATTTGTGCGTGTGCGTGTGTGTGTGTGTGTGTGTGTGTGTGTGTGTGTATGTGTGTGTGTGTGTGTGTGTGTATGTGTGTGTGTGTGTGTGTGTGTGTGTGTGTGTGTGTGTGTGTGTGTGTATTCACCTAGACCACCTAATCACGGAGTATACATTATGTTAACTGCAGCTCTCATTAATTATCGCAAATATGCCCGTTAATTTTGAATATTATCCAGATTTACAGGTATCAGAGGATGAGGATTGATATAGGTATCAGATGATGACGCGCGCGCTCGTGTGTGTAATTACCTAAGTGTAGTTACAGGATGAGAGCTACGCTCGTGGTGTCCCGTCTTCCCAGCACTCTTTGTCATATAACGCTTTGAAACTACTGACGGTCTTGGCCTCCACCACCTCACCTAACTTGTTCCAACCGTCTACCACTCACTCTGTTTGCGAAAGTGAATTTTCTTATATTTCTTCGGCATCTTTGTTTAATTAGTTTAAATCTATGACCTCTTGTTCTTGAAGTTCCAGGTGTGTGTGTGTGTGTGTGTGTGTTCACCTAGTTGTGCTGCAGAGGTTGAGCTCTGCTCTTTCGGTCCGCTTCTCAACTATCAATCAACTGTTACTAACTACTAACTATTCCCTCCTGTTGGATTTCTGGGGCTTGACTCAGATATTCAATTATTTGATTATTGTATTTAAATAAATCGAAGGACCACCCACTTTTGAAAAAAAGAGGGAAAACGAGTAAAAGTGATCATTAGAATGACACTAGAGAACCAGTGTCTATGGATATTAATTAAATGAATAATCACTTGAAAATAATGAATATACTGTATTATTAATTAATTAAAGTCAAAGCCTCAAATATCAACATTGGGGGGGGTATATCTAGAAGTTCATATATATCTAGGAACCAGTGTGGTTCGTCACTAGTTCATTGTTGAGTTAGTAACATAGTAAATCTAAACTACAATAGATTCAAAGATATGATAACTCAAATTATGAATATTAAAGATTATGAATTACTGAGCAACAGTCAGAGCAAAACACATTAATTACCAAATCATCATTTCTGGCAATAATTTATTCAATGTAAAGATCCTATATGAATTATATAGAAATCAGTAATAATCTTAGATAAATTTGTACGAAATAGAGGTCTTAGCTGTAAGACGATTTCTATAACGCCATTTCGTCATTCGTCCTCGTGGTCACAGGATCCCGATAAAGAAAGAACCCGAGGTGAATATCACGAATGATGAGAAACAACTTGTCGACTCCTCGTATACACGCTGAAATCAGAGAAATTTAAGTAGCATTTGATTAGGCTACGATTTATTTCAAATATTCATGAAAACGGAGAAATTGTTGAAATTCAACTAACGTTGTGTATTAGGTATCCTTGCTGTATAACGACAGACTACCCACAAATATACAATCTAGGATGATGCATCAAACGAGAATGGTATACTTAACATGAGCGTATCAAATACTGAGGTCTGCCGAGACCGCGTCAGCCAGTCCCAGGCGTCCACTGCTGTGTACGTGTAATTACGGGTCGTGGCTTCAATTGTTGACGTGTTATTAACTGGCCGGGCACTATAGAACACGTGAATAAGTAATTGTTAACTGTTAACCGGGTATCAACGTAATTCTTGTCGATAGAAACTCCCCAGTTACTACCACGTGTCTCGCCACTCTTCACGCCAGGGATGCCTCGTGGACAATGGCGTCTTCGCCCTCCCTCAACCCGTCTCTCGCATTCACTACAGAAATTATTAATCACGAATAATTTTTTCCGCGCAATTATGGATGTAATACGTTAATGAGAACTGGGTTGCAATTATAGGGACTTAAATATTATCATATTCTCGTTTTAATGGTGTTAAACGAGAAATGGAGAAGATTTTATTCTCTCCGTGGCATTCGCACGTAACAGATAAAACTGCTACTTGATAACAATTTCAGTTAATAACTCTCGGTTTTAGATTATCGGGAGTCATATTATCCGTAGGTAATTATTACACGGAATACTGATAATTTTAGAGAACCACATTCAATTCTCTAACACATTGGTAATAAACGTGCCTAACTAGACATTATCTGACGCAATGTTGCTACTCGATTTCATGAGAATTCTAGCACTAATACGCAGATGAAATGGTTAATTTATGTTGACACTACCATTAGTGAAATTAATAACTACTGTAGTTAGTATATAATGATGATGATGTATTATAATACAATAGTAGTTTATTAGTGTTGGAAATTTCCAACACCCCCCCCCCCCCAACACACACATCCCTCCAGGAACCAGCCCGTAACAGCTGTCTAAATCCCAATTACCTATTTACTGCTTTAGTAACAGGGGCATCAGGGCGAAAGAAACTGTGCCCATTTTGTTTCTCACCGGGGATCGAACCCGGACCCTGGGATTACGAGTCCAGAGCGCTGTCCACTAAGCTATCAGGGGCCCCCATAGTGCGTGCGTGCATGCGCGCTATATAATCATGTAGCCATCCTCGGGCAAAAGGCCTAGAAAGAATTAAAACAAAAGAGCCTCATCAACTACGTTACACAAACATTGGCTATATTTGTTATTCTAATTATTGAATGTTTGCACTGTCCCACAGACACAATCCTCTCCCCACCCTCCCACCCACACCCACCCTCCCACACACTAACAAAACCCACCTATACACTCCCATATACTGCACCCACTTTGTGCCTCTGTCAGTCCCCCCCTCCCACAGCCCGTCCCTCCCACAGCCCGACCCTCCCACAGCCAGTCCCTCCCACAGCCCGACCCTCCCACAGCCAGTCCCTCCCACAGCCCGTCCCTCCCACAGCCCGTCCCTCCCACAGCCCGTCCCTCCCACAGCCCGTCCCCCCCACAGCCCGTCCCTCCCACAGTACCGCACCTGACGACACATTAATCACATGTTTGCACTCAAGAGTTGCGCCATGCTTGTGGTTTAGGGAGGGAGGGAGGGAGGGAGGGGGTGGTGAAGGGGTCCCCCAGCGAGGCTCTTCTGACACAATAAACCATGTTATCACCTGGTGACCTTCCTATTGTGTGGTTATCTTCAGTTATCTTCCAGCGGAGAGTTATCCTTCCTCGACCACCGGCTCTTGCTCTTGTCGTTGCTAGACTTGCTAGTGTTGTTTACTTTTGTTTACCGTGACTGTGGGTGTTTGCTGTCCGCGGCTTGACCCATCTCCTGACTGGCTGTGTTGCTTGAATTACTCGGCATTGTGACGCTAAAGTGTAGATAACTATTGTATTATCTCCCCTCTACCCTCCCCCCGCCACACTCATACACATCCATACACACACACACACACACACACACACACACACACACACACACACACACACACACACACACACACACACACACACACACGCAAAGCCGTTTAGACTCGCCACAGTCACACACCGTCCTGATTCTTCCCCGGCACCGCACACAGGCAATCATTTGGTGCCACCTGACACCATCTGACCCTTCATTACCTGACACCATCTGACCCTTCATTACCTGACACCATCTGACCCTTCATTACCTGACACCATCTACGGCAAATCATCATCTTCAACCACCAGCTGACACCAGCTATGAATCCGTTGCAGCTATTTCTACTGACTCTGGTAAGTGTCTTATAATATCTTCGTATATTTAGGTAATTCTGTCGCTAACATGTTCCTAGTCCATGTATTAGTCTGGTTGATACCTGGTTGATGGGGTTCTGGGAGTTGTTCTACTCCCCAAGCCCGGCCCGAGGCCAGGCTCGACTAGTGAGAGTTTGGTCCACTGGGGACACTAATCTATGTGCCTTAAGACACACTTTAAGATTCATGAGAAACGCCTCTAAAAAAGCGCACAGAAAAACCACAAGAAAGTTTCTGGAGAAACGTTGTAAGGAATGGCCAGACGAGCATCACAAGAACCGCTCCCAGAAGCTCCCGAAGAACAGCCTTGAGACACGTACCAAGAAACTGCCCAGAGTAGAGTCCATAGAAATGTCCTAATAATGTTCGAGATCGAAGCTCTGCTCTAACGTCAAGAGCAACTCCCACAGAAATGGTCCAAGACACTGCCCAGCGAGCGACCAAAAATGCTCCAAGAAGCAGACAAAACGTCTTCAAGAAATGAGACAATATACTGGTGGAGGAGCGGCCGGATACATCTTCGTCATGAATCTGTGTCGTCAGGCAGCGGCCGGATACATCCCCCGTCACACACCCATGTGTCATCAGGCAGCGGCCAGATACATCCCCCGTCACACACCCATGTGTTATCAGGCAGCGGCCGGATACATCCCCCCTCACACACCAATGTGTTATTAGGCAGCGGCCGGATACATCCCCCGTCACACACACATGTGTCGTCAGGCAGCGGCCGGATACATCCCCCGTCACACACCCATGTGTCATCAGGCAGCGACCGGATACATCCCCCGTCACACACCCATGTGTCATCAGGCAGCGGCCGGATACATCCCCCGTCACACACCCATGTGTCATCAGGCAGCGGCCGGATACATCCACCGTCACACACCCATGTGTCATCAGGCAGCGGCCGGATACATCCCCCGTCACACACACATGTGTCGTCAGGCAGCGGCCGGATACATCCCCCGTCACACACCCATGTGTCATCAGGCAGCGGCCGGATACATCCCCCGTCACACACCCATGTGTCATCAGGCAGCGGCCGGATACATTCCCCGTCACACACCCATGCGTGATCAGGCAGCGGCCGGATACATCCCCCGTCATACACCCATGTGTCATCAGGCAGCGGCCGGATACATCCCCCGTCACACACCCATGTGTCATCAGGCAGCGGCCGGATACATCCCCCGTCATACACCCATGTGTCATCAGGCAGCGGCCGGATACATCCCCCGTCATACACCCATGTGTCATCAGGCAGCGGCCGGATACATCCCCCGTCATACACCCATGTGTCATCAGGCAGCGGCCGTGACTGACACGGCCACACAAAATTACTCTCGTCCTGACGTCTATTATTATCTATCGCCAGCCTGATAGATTGTCGACTTCCGTGCCCGCGAGATCTCAGCTCACGTGACTACGAACACATTGTAACATTATGATAAAAAAAAATTGTCTTCATTTTTACACGTGTTTTGTCAAGCAAGTATTTCGCAATTTATTAATTCATTAAGTTATATTTTTTGGTTCTCCCTCGTCTTCTCTATTACAGAAAACGAAATATTTATAAAATAATTAATAGTCCGGGTTGTGTTTCCTAAATCCAATTTGGAACACTTAATTCCGGTAAAAAGAAATCCGTAATTTAGTGTGTCACCTCATAATTGGCGCAATACTTAACACACGTTTAACGATAGCAAGAGGGAACGGATATCATATTAACCTACTTCTTACAGCGTATTTACTACGCCTGCAAGATCGAGCTGTTAGCTCTTGGACCCCGCCTTTCTAAAACTCGGTGTTCTAACGTACTGACTCCGGCCTATTTTCCTCTATTATATCTGCTACGAATATTTCTCTCTCACACACACATACACACACACACACATCCCCAGAATGCACCTCGTAGCAGCTGTCTAACTCATAGGCACCTATTTACGAAACCTCTACATCTTTATTTAATCGTGACCGCTGAGTTTTGGTTATAAATCTTATGAGGTTCGAAACTTAGCAACTCAAAGTTATTATTGTTATAAACAACCTCGTAGCCTCTTCACTGTAAATTGTCCCTGTAGCCTCTTTACTGTCATTTCTGACAAATTTATATTTCGTAGGATTAAACAACCGTTTCTCACTGTCTCTAGTTCGTCAGGGTGTGACGGCGCACTCTACAGTCCTCCTCTCTTCTAATTTCTCACATCAGGTTTGTATCATTAGTCAAAATACAGACAGAGACTCTATACGGTGGATGTAACTGGTTAATAATACAGGTTTGGGCTCTGATTCTTGTGGCACTCTACATGTTACTTTCCTCCATGACGATCTCTTCCTCTCGGTGTTGGTCTGTGCTTCTTGTTGAGAGGTGTTCTCTCTCTCAGCGAGCTCACCTCTCCTCCAGTTACTCCACGACGCCCTGGAATTCTCATTCTTGAACAGGCTGAAGATTTTCTGGCAGTTGAGGAAGTTGCAGTCCTAACTTTTCCCTCGTGCGTGATCTTAATAAGATCAGAATTATCTGGGTATAACTTAGCGAGAGCCACGTGGGTTGGGAAGACGGCGGTGCTCCCTCTCACTCAGCTCCTCAACTTCACTCTGCTTCTAAGTTTAGATGTATTTATTTTTAAACAAAATGTAGATGCAGAAGGATATGCCTGTGTGTTAACTGTATGTTTCTCCTGGTCAGGTGGTGGCGGGGAGCGGCGGGGCGGGGCAGGACGGGGCCACCTGCTCCCCCACCTGCACCGAGCATCGCCCCAAACACAGAGTGATTGACCCCATTGACTGCCACCGCTACTACACCTGTAACGTGGACGGCCGTCCCAGCGACCGCTCTGTGCCCTGCGGAACTGGCGAGAGGTTTGACCAGTTGACTGAAGAGTGTGTCCCTGACGATAGTTGCATCCCCTCCTGCGACGCCGCAGCCGCAGCCTGCCACTATACCTGCGACGCCGCAGGGGACCTCCTCACCGACCCCTTCGACTGCAACACGTACTACTACTGCCACAATGATGACAAATTAGGGCCGTTCATATGTCCCGAAGAGAGACCTTTCTTCAACGGCAGGTTCTGCGTGGAAGACGCAGCCTCCTGCTGCAGAGACTCCTGCGTCGCCTACTGCTTCAATAACAGCATCCAGATCCCCGATCCGCTGGACTGTGGCATGTACTACATGTGCCTGGAAGAAGGCCTTCCCTGGGAAGAATACCATTTCCAGTGTGGTCCTGGAAAGGTGCTGGACGCGAGTGAGGGCAAGTGCCGCCCCGGAGACCAGTGTCAGCCACTGTGTGGGCAACAACGCGCTCTACAAATGGCCGCAATAGAAGAGGAGCTCAATAAAATTGGCGAAAGAGCTCTCGCCAACGGCCTCTCGGAGGACACTGAGGCTAGAGCTGTGAGAGAGGAAGAGCAGAGGTACAAGGCCTCTGGCTCGACCTGAGAGGACAACACATACGCCTTAATGTCCTCATTCTATACTATAATGCTCTCCATTGTTATGTTGAAGACTTAAGGTAGTTTCCATGAGGTGATCACCAGTGCTAACGACACCAGTACATGAAAGTCACACTTGTCAGGTGGATAATGACCCAAAATATTTACTCTCACCTGTAAATAGACATAAATGTATGTGTATGTGAGAGTAAGAATTAGTGATTATAAAAACAACATCTTTCATATTCTACTACACCTCCTTGTTTGTAACTATTCGTAAACAAGTAAAGACGATGTTTATGATATATTTCTGGTACACCGCTGGACACAGGTATACACCAGGTATACACCAGCGGGGTACCAAGAACACGGGCAGGTATCCAATAGTAGTTTACCCAATATTGGGTAAAGTCGTGTTGGGCGACACGACATATTATACAAATTATTTGACGATATTTCTGTAGAATAAAGATACATATTTACTATACATAATATTCTGTGTAATAAGCGCTACACATTTCTCGTGTACTGTTGAAAGTTTAAGGTACTTTTAGCTCACTATTTTAAGCATATTAGACGAAACTTGCAATACTCTCCGAGGAAAAATTAAACTTGCAATCGTGAAATTGAATGGTGGAGTGTGGAGGAGATGCTCAACACCTCAGGATATTAAAGATGACACCAACAAGAAGAATGGAACTTGGAGTGTCAGTATGAAATATTTATACACACACACACACACACACACACACACACACACACACACACACACACACACACACACACACATATTGCATTGGTCAACTAGCGTATGGAGAACAGAGTCCAAGAACTGAAGCTTTATTTTGTAGGCACAAATAGGCGGGTATAGTGACATAAGTAGTATACTAGTATACATATATGTATATTGTATTGCTGGAGGTAGCGGAGGAGGATTTGGTGAGAAGATGTTGGAGTGGGAGGCAGAGGAGGTGGGGGAGGGAGAAGGGGTGGTGGTAGAGAAAAGAACACAGAGTTACCACAGAAAAAAGAGTAAGCTGACATTAAGAATATATACCACAAGTTACAAGCCCCTTTGGGGGTGTGTGTGGAGGCTAATGCCATCCACATGGCTCGAGAATACATATCAACAATAGCTAAAACACAGAGTCCAAGAGCTAACAAAAACAAATCCACAAGGGCCGTGACGAGGATTCGAATCCTGCGTCCGGGAGCATCCTAGACACTGCCTTAATCATTTGATGCATCACGTTAGTGTGGTTTCTGTGTGTAGTGTCCCAAGAGCTAAACCTCACTTCTATACAAAGACAAGTACATGTACACAATAGCGCTTAAACAGTAGCCAGTGAGAAAATAAAGCAACATGGGGGGGGGACAAAGGTGGGTGGACCCTGAGACCTCACGTGGCCCCCTAGCTGACAGGCGTCCCTCAGGGCTCGACGGACCTTATATACGAGGGACCACAAGGGGCCCTCCGGCCTCCCGGGCCTCCGGGGCCACCAGAAGACAGCGGGCGGTGAGGGAACTGGACAACTGTTCAAGCCAGGGAGAAAGTGAAGAAAGGAGAGAAAATGGGAGAAAGTGAAGGAAGGAGAGAAAATGGGAGAAAGTGAAGGAAGGAGAGAAAATGGGAGAAAGTGAAGGAAGGAGAGAACGAAGGGAGAGTGGGGATAAAAGTTCCAGCACGTCATCAGTAAAGTTTCAGACGTCATGATAACCTGAAGAAACACTTGGATATACACACCTTACTCTGGCCACGCTCCCTCACTCACACTTCACCCCCTCACTCACTCACACTTCACCCTCACCGCTGACACTCTTACAAACTTAAGGTAAACCCAGCAGAGCTTCGAGTCCCTCAGAAGCACAAAGTTGTGGTGACAGCTGTCATGGCCACCATCCGAGCTCCGAGTCTTTGTTTACATTTATCAGCTGATTTCCCTTAACGTTAACCTCAGCGGCATCTGGGCTCCGATGGCCCGGGGCCTGGTAGTTATCGCAAGTTAAGTGACAATTGCAACACGGTCCTTATATTATTTTAGTCATTTGCAAGAAAATCTAAAATTATCAGAGTACTTTAATATTGCACGACGTCTCGCACAGACAAAAGTTTCTTGGACCGAGATTAAACAATAAAGTCATTATCCGAGACTCGGGACACTTTATAATGATTTTCCTCACCTCAATATCTGGAGGCCACTTGAGCAGCTCGGTAATAAGTGACTCTACATTAGTATACCGTGAGGGCGTCGTCCTATAGAAGTGTGTAGGGTGCATATAGGCTAATGAAACACGCATCTCATTCAGTTCTTCAACCCAATACGCGACTAAGCCCTCCGCCACCCTCCTCAAGATGGGGCAAGTGATCCAAAATATAGCAAGTCACCTAAGAGCTGGGTGACTGCTAACTTCCCCCTCCGACACCGCCTTCAGGTTACCCGAGGCTCAGCGTGTGTATTCTCCCCAGCTGATTTACCTCAAGGTAAACAAACCTTGTTTGTGGTTATATCGCAAAGGCAGCCAGGGTGGAGGAGCAGCAACCACACACGCTAGTAGCTGCTTCCTCAGCTACTGACGGGGTCCCTCCTGGCCGACGCTTTCCTCGCAAACATCACGGCAGAGCACATATACGGCACCGAGCGCAGGGAAGGCGACAGCAACTCCAAAACATACCTGCATACACCACTATACAACGGCAAGTATCAGTATACACTGGCAGCCACCGCTATACACCGCCAGGCACCACTATACCGTGAGCTAGTACACAGGATAACGGCCGCCAGAGCTACAAGACACTGGCCAGAGGCATGGAAAACACTGGCCAATCTATCATGAAAGATGACCCAGCAGAGAGTCAATAGGAACCAGGGTCACTGGAGGAATTACCCGTCACAGGCAAACACGGATCAATCAGCGCTGCTCCTTATTACCCGGCCCGTGTCCTACCACTCCCCAGCCCGCCCCTCTATCTACTCGCTCCCCTTCAAAGGGAAATGTATTAATTTAGGTTTTGAAGGGATTTTTGTTTCGTTCAATTGACACATGTTTGAAAGGGGGTTTGGCGCGCGCGCGCGTGTGTATTCACCTAGTTGTACTCACCTAGTTGTGTTTGCGGGGGTTGAGCTCTGGCTCTTTGGTCCCGCCTCTCAACCGTCAATCAACAGGTGTACAGATTCCTGAGCCTATCGGGCTCTGTCATATCTACACTTGAAACTGTGTATGGAGTCAGCCTCCACCACATCACTTCCTAATGCATTCCATTTGTCAACCACTCTGACACTAAAAAAGTTCTTTCTAATATCTCTGTGGCTCATTTGGGCACTCAGTTTCCACCTGTGTCCCCTTGTGCGTGTTCCCCTTGTGTTAAATAGACTGTCTTTATCTACCCTATCAATCCCCTTCAGAATCTTGAATGTGGTGATCATGTCCCCCCTAACTCTTCTGTCTTCCAGCGAAGTGAGGTTTAATTCCCGTAGTCTCTCCTCGTAGCTCATACCTCTCAGCTCGGGTACTAGTCTGGTGGCAAACCTTTGAACCTTTTCCAGTTTAGTCTTATCCTTGACTAGATATGGACTCCATGCTGGGGCTGGAGTCTCCAGGATTGGCCTGACATATGTGGTATACAAAGTTCTGAATGATTCTTTACACAAGTTTCTGAATGCCGTTCGTATGTTGGCCAGCCTGGCATATGCCGCTGATGTTATCCGCTTGATATGTGCTGCAGGAGACAGGTCTGGCGTGATATCAACCCCCAAGTCTTTTTCCTTCTCTGACTCCTGAAGAATTTCCTCTCCCAGATGATACCTTGTATCTGGCCTCCTGCTCCCTACACCTATCTTCATTACATTACATTTGGTTGGGTTAAACTCTAACAACCATTTGTTCGACCATTCCTTCAGCTTGTCTAGGTCTTCTTGAAGCCTCAAACAGTCCTCTTCTGTTTTAATCCTTCTCATAATTTTAGCATCGTCCGCAAACATTGAGAGAAATGAATCGATACCCTCCAGGAGATCATTTACATATATCAGAAACAAGATAGGACCGAGTACAGAGCCCTGTGGGACTCCACTGGTGACTTCACGCCAATCGGAGGTCTCACCCCTCACCGTAACTCTCTGCTTCCTATTGCTTAGATACTCCCTTAGATATCTTAGATAGATGTGTGTGTGTGTGTGTGTGTGTGTGTGTGTGTGTGTGTCAGTGTGTGTGTGTGTGTTTACTAGTTGTGTTTACTAGTTGTGTTTTTGCGGGGGTTGAGCTTTGCTCTTTCGGCCCGCCTCTCAACTGTCAATCAACTGTTTACTAACTATTTTTTTTTCCACACCACACACACACACCCCAGGAAGCAGCCCGTGACAGCTAACTAACTCCCAGGTACCTATTTACTGCTAAGTAACAGGGGCACTTAGGGTGAAAGAAACTTTGCCCATTTGTTTCTGCCTCGTGCGGGAATCGAACCCGCGCCACAGAATTACGAGTCCTGCGCGCTATCCACCAGGCTACGAGGCCCCTCTTGTGTGTGTGTGTGTGTGTGTGTGTGTGTGCTGTTTGGTGGTTACTACCGCAACTACTACTACCACCTATAGTAGTCAGGACTACCGTATAACAACATGTGTGAAACTCACTTTGAATATGTTGGTTCATGTTGGTAATTCCATCTATCATCATACTATAATGCAAGTGGAGCCACACATCTATGGATCATCCAATAAAATCAGCAGACTTCTAGATGTTACTACTGCTCGGCTTAGACTCGGTTACAAGTATCTCTGGGAATTCTCATTATCTGCTGATGTAGACCTGACCAAATGTAAACTGTGTCAACAAAATTATTCGCACACCCTCCGTCACTATGTGATGGAGTGCGAAAAGATACGTGAATTTAGAGACAATTCTATAACCAATGTTCCAGCGATGTGTAAATATTTCATTCAAAATGATCTGCTACCAGAAATTTTAGCCAAATATCCCCAGTTTGCTAACTGTAGGTAGTAACTAAGTGATTGTAACCTATCCACCGCTGCCCACTGGATGGGGGGCGGTGTGCAGGACAAACATATCAATTTTGACACTAGCTCTCCACATATGTCAGTTGCTTAATTTAGAACCTGTACTTGAGGTCGATCTCGAACCCATTGTTGATGTGACGACTTATATTGAATTTTGTAACTAGCTCATCAAGATTGTAACTTGCTTAGCTAAATGAATTGTGGGGTTCAGTCCCTGAGCCCATTATGTGCCTCTGTAACCCTTTCCACTACCGCCCACAAGATGGGTATGGGGTGCATAATAAATGAACTAAACTAAAAAACCTGTTGGTATGACTGTTGACAGTGTAATTTTAAAGATAATCACCACCGTAGGTGACCAGCGCCTCAGTACCGCCTCACAAGACCACTCCAGCCTCACACCTCCCAGCACCTTCTCTGGTGGGAGTAAACATCTTTATGTAACTATGTACACATTACTGTACACATTCTACCCGGGTCAGCTCTGCTGCAGCGCCTCGCACCAACATACACCACCCAACATCAATGGTACATCAATCGCCAGTATAATATACACTATGTGTATATTATACACACAGTATAATATACACTATGTGTATATTATATACTTACACTATGTGTATATTATACACTATGTGTATATTATACATACAGAATAATATACACTATGTATATTATAATATACATCTTGTGCAATATACACCAAGTATATTAAAATTGTTATATTAACTTTTCTTATATTTCTCCTCTTAGAAAGAGGAGTCTTAGAAAACAAACGGAAGACAGCAAATAAGTGTTCAGGTTTTTGAGTTAAATAAATTAGCGCGGAGCCGGCGCGCGCGCGTGTCCGCCGCGCTCCCTGGCGGAAGGCGCCCACATTACTCTCACCAATGTTGTCAAAGCAGTAAAAGAAATACAAACAATTATTTTCATCCAAGAAACTCTTTAGAAACAATTTTTTTAACGTGTTTGTATACGTTTGTGTGAGTGTGGAGGTTTGTGTGCTTGATTATGTTTGTGCCAGTATGTCTGTGTCTACGTTTGTGGCTACAAGTCTTGGTCTAGGCTTAAGAACATACACTGGCGCGAAAGTGGCTATGGAAGATCTTCCAGTACCACGGACGTAAGGACGAAGAGGTAGAATAGCCTATTGGCAGAGCTCGGGTGCACGGGGTGGGGGGGGGGGGGGGAATTGTGTAAGACCCTGGTTTGTGTCTCGGAGAGGCTGCAGGATCCGTGGTAGGTCAAGTTGATTTCCCGGTTGCAATTCTCTTAACCATGTTTTAGCTCAGTCGATTAAGGCAACGTCTGGGATCTTCTCGGACGTAGGATCGAACCCTCGTCACGGCCCTTGTGGATTTGTTCATTTGATGCATCACGTTATTGTGATTTCTGCGTGTAACGACGTTGCTGTACACGCGCCCTCCAGAGACAACCTCTACACCAGAATCCCATTGACAAAATCCCCCAAAAATAATGGGCAAAAAAAATGAATTTACCTTAATAAAGTTTCCTTCAAGTCTGAAATTTGCAGGTGATGTGAGTTATTTATCGGTGTATGACTGGCTTAGTGGGCTCTATCATATCTACATT